GACCGCCCAACGATTGCACGAGGCTCGCGAATGGGATGGACCGCTTTCGGTCTACGTCAGCCCCCTCATGGTGCCAAAAGATCATGTTTTGGCTCGGATTTCATCCCATGGCAACGCAGTGGCCATTGCTTCCGCGAATATGGGGACTTGTTCTTACCTTGGTCCCGGAGCTGGTCGGTTCCCCACTGCCAACTCTGTCGTTGCTGATATTTGTAGAATAGCAGACGGACAACAAGGACCGGCCTTCCCTATTGAAGCACCGCCGCATTTAGAGTTGGATTTGGACTACATTGCCATTTTTTACATTCGAATTCCCTTTCAAGATGGTTTGGGTATCATCAAGCGAGTGGGAGAACTGTCCGAAGACTGCGGAGTCAGCATCCATTCCATACTTCAAACGCCGATTATGGATCGCATGTCGGCTGATTTTTGCGTGACAACCGAAGAATGCAAGGTTAGTCAAGTGGAAGATTTGTGTGAAGCCATTAATCAACAGGTGGATTTTTGTCGGGCACCGTGCGTGTACATGCCAATGATGAGAGAAATTTACTACTATTGAAGAAGTGGGTGAGATGACTTTGAACCTCACCAACATTTCTGCCCAAAAGTATTTGTGATGAGTGAGATTTTGCTTTGTGTTCCAAGTCAACCAAGTATAATACATTATCTACAGTAGGACTTTAGATCCATGCAATAAAAATAAATAATACCGTGTGCTACTATCATCTTAGTTCTGATGCAACAATACTTGCAATACAGAGCTGACTTGTTGCCCAGGATTTTGTGTGTCCACTGTACTATATTTACATTAGAAAACACTGGTGGTACGAGGAAGTGAAGCGGCAGCGAAAGCAGCACTGGAGTTTGTCGAAGTCGTTTGTGATATAACACTTGAGATTTGTTTTTGTTCAAGCCTACAATAATAAATAATAGGTGTGCTACTATCGTCTCAGTGATTACAGAAATGACTTGTCGCCCAGGATGTGTGCTGATGTACAGAGTGAAGAACACGGTTGGCGCGAGGAGATAGCTAGTCTGCCACCCTTACGCCATGGTCCTCAATGCCTCTGGGAATTCCCGTAGCAAATGGAACAATGATGTAGCATTCTGGGCTTGCTCCGAGTCTAGAATTTCTCGTACCACCTCGACGCGAT